GAAGGGGGCTGGCCAGAGTCAAACAGAACAGAGCAAGGTGCTTCCCCAGGCCCTGTGCTTGTGGCTTACTTGTGGCACCCTGCTGCTCCCAGCACATCTGGCCAGCCCAGGGTACCTGTTTTCCTTATAACAAATCTAAACAATCTGCTGGCCAGTCTGGGCTTGGTCAGTGAAGAGCTCTTGCCTAGCATGTGGAAGGCCCAGGTTCTGTTGCCAGCACCACACACAGAGAAAGAATCTGCTAGGGGCAGGGGCAAAGGGGATACCTTTTAATCCACAGAGTAGGTGGAGCCCAGCATTGTATATCTATCTTTCTTGGCCCTTCTGATTGTGGCTGCCATCTCTCTAAGAGGCCTCCAGTTCTTAGGGGTTGCCCTGCTCCCTAGGGTGGGTTGAGGAGGGTAAGGTTTATAGAAGCCACCCTGTGCCCCAATTCTGACTGGAAAAGAGAGTAAAAGTCAGGGTGATGGAAGATGACATAAGGTAATCTTGGGGTAGCTGCTTTTTTACCAGTGCAAAACAAAATGCCGGGGTCCTTACATAATGGCAACTGACTTTCTCAGTGAAGCCTGACTGTGCTAGCATGCACTGAGCACTTGCGGTGCCTTGAACCCCTCCACTCACCATAGCCCTCAGGTCCATGCCTTCATGTCTGTATTTTATAGACAGTCACCGGCTGGCAGTTGAATGGCTTGGTGACTGAGCTAGAACCCAGGTCCCAACTCCAGGGTCCATGGCCATTCAGAACTGTCCCTTCCCACTCTAGTTATCCTCCACATTACATTAACTAGGTCTAGGGCTGGGACTATGGCTCAGGAGGTAGAGTGTTTGCTTAGCACACATGAAACCTGACCAAATACATCAGTGATTCACGCCTATAATCCCAACACTGGGGAGGTAGACACAGAAGATCAGGAGTTGAAGGGCATCCTCAGCTATATACCAAGTTTAAGGCCATCCTGATATATCTGAAACCCTGCCTCAAATAAAAATGAACTAACTGCAACTGATTGTACTTCAAATGCCTAGCTGGTCATTGGCTTTGACACAATGAGAGAGTCCATGGATGGAGCCATTAATGGCTGCATACAAAAGTTACCCACCACTTTAGTAGGGGCTAGTTAGTGACATGGACAGGAGTCTGTCAGCTGTACCTAGGTAGGGACAGACACAGTTAAAGTTTCTGCCATTTACATCACTCTTTTCACCCTTTATATGTGTATGTGTGTACACTTACATATGAGCCTTATGTGGTTTGGGCACAGGACACATGGGCATCCCCAAATTTCCTTTAAAATGTCCTGGTTGTGGCCAGGCGGTGGTGGTGCACACCTTTAATCCCAGCACTCGGGAGGCAGAGGCAGGCGGATCTCTGTGAGTTCGAGACCAGCCTGGTCTACAAGAGCTAGTTCCAGGACAGCCTCTAAAGCCACAGAGAAACCTTGTCTCGAAAAACAAAAAAAACAAAAATAAATAAATAAATAAATAAATAAATAAAATGCCCTGGTCAGTATTGACTATGCATATGTGGCTGTATGGTTGTCACTAAACTTCCAGTTCATTTTGTATCACTCCAAAAGAGTCCCTCCCACTTAACAGCCTGGCAAGCATGTACACTTCCTATCCCTATTGATTCCTCTTTTGGACATTTCATATGAATGGTATTTCATGACAGCATGTGGCCATTCCCTTGGTACTTCTGAGGTCTGGCTGTGTTGGAGCCTGGATTTGTGATAACACTGATTTGCTCTATCTGATTACCTGTGTGGCCTATGGCTGTGATGGAGTGATGGGTGCCACTGCTGGGAGCATCCTTGTACAAAAGGTTTGGGGGTTTTCATTTAGTTCTGGGTTTTGTTTGTGTCATCTGTTCTATCGGTGACTATTCTGGATCTCTTGATTTATCCTTGGCTGACTTTGAACTCACAGAGTTCCTCCTGTCTCTGCCTCCTGGGTTCAGGGATTAAAGGTGTAGGCCACTTGGTTATATTTTGTTTTTTGGGACAGGGATTCTCTGCATAACCCTGGCTGTCGTGGAACTTGCTCTGTAGACTAGGCTGGCCTCAAACTAACAGAGATCTGCTTACCTCTGCCTCCCAAGTGCTGAGATTAAAGGTGCTGCAATTAAACTGCCCAGCTTGGTTTTGGTTTTAAAAAGTGGATCTAATGACCTCTATAACCTAGGCTAGCATTGAACTTGAGATCTTCTTGCCTCAGTCTTCTGAGGGCCGTGATTGTAGGTGTGTGCCCAGGTTCTGTGTTCAACATTTTACAAGGATGTGTGGCATTGTTTCTCTTAGTGTATGTCTGGATCTTCTGGGGGCCAAGGTTTCAGTTTGGGGAAACTCTCTGCTTTCCACAGTGTGGGCAGCGAGATGGGTCCCAGCCTCTCACTACATTTCTTTCTCATTGAGATTCTCACAACACTGTGGGTGTCACAGTGGCTCCTTGTGGCTTTGGCTGGCATTTCTTGGTGACTAGTGGTTTCAGGCATCTTCTGGGTGCTCACTGGCTGTTCATGCATCTTCTTTGGAGAAGCATTGGCTAGCATCCTTGGTCACATGTCATTGAGCTGTCTTTACTGTGAGTTGGCCAATTTTTAGTGTTTCTTGGTCTAGCAGGTGTATCAAGCCTGCAGCTCTCAGGCCACATGCATCTCTGGATAGCTATGAATGCAGCCCAGCACATTCATAATGATGCCCCCATAGCACATTGCCAAGTGACTGGACACCCCTGGTAAAGGCTAGACCCTTATTGGGTGCTTCCTTCAATGTCTTCTTTATAGCCCATATCCCTTCACCTTCTCCTTGGCTTTTCTCGGAGCACAGAGGGTTGTTACTGTTGAGGAAAGCTAATTGTCTCCCCATCTTTTTTTTTTTTTTTTTGTAGCGGTCCTCCTGCCTCTGCCTACCTCTGAGTACTGGCATTACAGCTGACACCACCATGCCTGGCCAGGTTACGTATTTAATCCACAAGACTAGGGAGCCAACTTTGGTTCCCAGGCCTGACTCTGCCACATTATGTGCCTTCTGAATTTCATTTTCTCCTTCTGAAGACTGATCACTGTGAGTTTAAGACCAGCCTAGGCGCTATGATGAGTTGGAGGCCAGCCTGAGCTACATAGCAAGACCCTGTCTAAAACAAGTGGATGAACAAACTTTACAGGAATGGCTCTGTAGTGTGTCGTTTCAGAGCTTCTCACTTACAACACAGCCTTTGGTTTCCATGCTCCATACAAGATTCACTAAATTGCCTGAGTCAGTCCTTTGCATCAGTTTGGACCAACGGGAGAATGAGTGTGCTCTGAGCATGTCCAAGGTGGGCCCAGACATGCTGTTTGTTCATTAGATGGAGTGGGTGCATTTTTTTGCTTTTTGAGACACAGGATCTCTTGTAGCCTAGGCTGGCCTACAAACTCAACATACAGCCAAGGATGACCACAATCTCCTGATGGATGTGTGCCACTGCACCCCGTTTTGTGATGTGCCATTTTCAGCTTCCTGTGCATGTGTGGGAACAGTGCCCTGTCCACCTGGCTGTGCTGCTTTTACTTCTGTCAGTCATTTCCTCTTTTTGTTATGTTTTGTGTTTGTGTTTGGAGTTTTAGCCCTCATATGTTTCCAGTTCCTTTGCAGCTTGTCCTTATTTTTGTTGTTTGCAGTTCTGCGGGCTGAGCCCAGGGCCTTGTTAATGCACAACAAGTGCTCAACAACTGAGCCACTTTTCCAGCACCTGGTTTGTCTGTTTTTATAAAGCGTCTTATGTGGGTTGTTACTGGGAGACAGGAGGTGATAGAACCATGTGCTGGGTTGAGTGTGAACTGAAGGACCAATCACAGAGGAGCTTTGAAGAAAGTGCCATGCCCAGCCACCAATCAGGATGGGGAGGAGCTTATACTGTAGTCACTCACTGCAGCCACTGAAAGAGGACCATGCTGTTGGGGATGGTGTTGTTTAAGCCGAGTAACTAGGGTTTGTGTTTATCAGAGGCATGGTGGGTGAGGGCTCCCTGTAATTCAGAGCCAGTTACATCCCTCAGGTGGAAATAATAGCCAGAAAGTTAGGACTCCTGCTTGGTTTGGCTCAGCACATGAAGACTCTATGGATGTCAGGGCTGTATCAGTTTCCTTTCTGGTGCTGTGATTAAATACTGTGAAACCAAAAGCAACTAACAGAAGGAAGAATTTACTTGTCTTGCACTGTAGAGGGATAAGAGGCCATCATGGTGGGGAATCATCAAGGTTTCGGGACTGGCGGCGGAGCAGGAAGCCAAGAGCTCACATCTTCAAACCTAACCATGAAGCAGAGAGTAAGCAGGAAGTGGAGCCTGCCTCCAGTGTCTTAATTCCTCTATCAAGGCTCCACCTCCAAAAGGTTCCACAGCTTCCTCAAACAGTGTCACCATCTGGGGACCTTTGTATTCAAGGGTCCAAGCCCACGGGGGACATTCTCATTCAAACCCTCACAGTAGCCATCCATACCTTTCTAACATGGGATCTGGGTGGAAAATGACTCCACTGGAGACAAGCAACACTGCTCACCAAGTAGAGATTCCTGTGTTAATCTGTGGCTGACCCTCTCAGAGCTGCTCCTGCCTCAACTATACACCGGAGCCCCAGTCAGTGCCTGCCTGCCACTGGCTTTGTGAAGACTCGGCTAATAAAGGGGAAGGCACTTGGGGAAGGAGGGCTCTGCCAGCTGTGGGATTTGGGCAGGTAGAAGATGGATGGAGCCCAGTATTGCAGGGTCAGGCCTGCAGGTGTCTGCTTGAGGAAGTAGATGTCATTGTCCCACTGAGACTCTCAGTCTTCTCCTCTATGAGATGGGTAGAGGAGATATGTAGTGAGCCAGCCACTCCACTCCGTGGGTCACATGGGGGAAATATTCTTTTGGGCCATTGTGTCGCTGTGCCTAGCAGGTTGGTCCCTGGATGCTGGGTTGTTCCCAGCCTTCACCAGCACTGCATGACCTCGACTCATTCTCATCCCCCCTCCCCCACAGGCAGTTGCTGAAGACAGAGCTGGGATCCTTCTTCACAGAGTACCTGCAGGTATGTGGAGGAAAGCTTGATCTGGCCCTCCAAGGATGTCTCTGTCATATGACCTGTGACTGTCCAAGCAGGCTCAAGGCCTCTTAGGATGGATGGGGCTTTGACTATGTGGCAGGAGGGTAGGTCTTATTTGTTGGCTGTTTGTTGGTGGACTCCTGGGGGTCCTGTGGGCCAGACCACCCTGGAATAGCTGCAGGCCAGTGATGATACCTTTGTTCTCTTTCAGAACCAGCTGCTCACAAAGGGCATGGTGATCCTTCGTGACAAGATACGCTTCTACGAGGGTGAGTCGGGGGGGGGGGGGGGGGGGGGGGGGCACCCGGGGGGGGGCGCGGGGGGGGGGGTGGTTTTGGGGGAGGGGGGGGGGGG